CATGCCTGTAATCCCAGCTACTCGGGAGGCTGAGGCAGGAGAATCGCTTGAACCCAGGAGGCGGAGGTTGCAGTGAGCCGAGATCACACCATTGCACTCCAGCCTGGGCAACAAGAGCAAAACTCCATCTCAAAAAATAATAATATTCTCACAACCTACCACATAGTAGGTGCACAATAATCATTAATTATTAAATAAGCTGTTTAAGGATTTTTTTTATCTGTCTCCGTAACCCTAATACCTGGTAAAAATTCTGATCTATAGCACAAGTTTAATAATGTTCTAAACAAATGCAACAAAACTTATTTAGATAAGAACAAACCCTCAAGCCTTGCTTTGTAGTAAAGAAGTCAGAAGTGCCAGCATCCGTGGCCAATAGTCCCACAAATTGCATGGCAGGCCGCTGTTGTATAAATAGTTCTACAGCTTCATCAGTGATGCAACTGCCCCCAGAAATATCCAATGACACAACATTGGGCAGGATATCCTTCTGCTGTAGCAAATGAAAAGCTAGGTCTGATTTGAGTTGCCTGTGATCAGAAATATCAAGGTGAAGCAGACATGTAAGTCCTCTAATGACTGCAAGAATTTGTGGTTTGGTCATGCTCAGGCATTTTAGATAGTGCATTGTAAGAGACTTCAATCGATCCTTACAGGTAAGCAGTGCAGAAATATCAGTGACCAGAGTATTAGAGATATCTAAGCTTTCCAGTCTTGGTAACTGAGAAACATTAGCCAGGTCTTCGGTATGAAAACAAACATTAAAAACACTTAAAATGCGAAGACCAGTGAGCTGACTAAAGAACAGTAATCTTGAATTTTGAGGGATGCTTGTCGAGTCTAACAGGAGACACCGGAGGTTTTGCTGGATCCAGCTACTGCTGCAGAGTCCACTTATGATGTCTGGAACTGGGAGGTCAGCGTGCACTGCAGTAGCGTTCAGTTCAATGAGCTTATGATGGCAGAAGGCTTTTATGAATGCAGCTGTAGAGATTTTAGCTTTTTGGATATTGACCAGCTTCAGTTTCATTTGGTTGCCTCGGAAAATGCTTGCTGTTCTGTCAGTCAGCTTGCCTATAAAAGAACCAGAACCAACTTGTAATGACGACTAGATCTCATGTCTTTCCAGGATAAAATGTGGCAAAGAAGACAGATGCTAATAATAACAATAATGACAACATTTACTGCTCTGTGCTAGCATTGTTCTAAACTCCTTTAATAAGATTATTATCTCGGCCGGGCACGGCGGCTCAAGCCTGTAATCCCAGCACTTTGGGAGGCCGAGACGGGCGGATCACGAGGTCAGGAGATCGAGACCATCCTGGCGAACACGGTGAAACCCCGTCTCTACTAAAAAGTACAAAAAAACTAGCTGGGCGAGGTGGCGGGCGCCTGTAGTCCCAGCTACTCGGGAGGCTGAGGCAGGAGAATGGCGTGAACCCGGGAGGCGGAGCTTGCAGTGAGCTGAGATCCGGCCACTGCACTCCAGCCTGGGCGATAAAGCGAGACTCCGTCTCAAAAAAATAAAAATAAAAATAAAAATAAAATGTTGAATTAGCCAGGCATGGTAGTGCACACCTGTAGTCCTAGTTACTCAGGAGGCTGATATAGGAGGATCACTTGGGCCCAGGAATTTGAAGTTACAGCAAACCATAATCACACCACTGCAGTCCAGCCTGGGTGACAGAGTGAGACCCTATCTCAAAAAAAATAAAATAGGCTGGATGCGGTGGCTCACACCTGTAATTGAAGCACTTTGGGAGGCTGAGACAGGCAGATTACCTGAGGTCAGGAGTTTGAGATCAGGAGTTCGAGACCAGCCTGGCCAACATGGTGAAACCCATTTTTACTAAAAATATAAAAAGTTGGCAAGGCGTGGTGGTAGGCCCCTGTAATCAAAGCGGGAGGCTGAGCCAGGAGAAATGCTTTAACTTGGGAGGCAGAGGTTGCAGTGAGCTAAGTCATGGCAGCGAGTTAAGATCACACCACGGCACTCCAGCCTGGGCAACAAGAGCAAAACTCTGTCTCAAAAAAATAAAAAATAAAAAGATAAAAACAGCAGCATTCAATGAGGTAGGAAGAAAATCAGGAAAATATGATGACTCAGCTGCCCAGAGAAAAATGCAGGACACCAAGGGAGCAATTGGTAACATGATTCAGGAGTTTAGGATAACGGGCTGAGAACTCTGGGGAACGACAGTCGAGGAGGTAAAATAAACCAAGGAAAATCACATAAGGAGTGTTCAGAGTGAGAAAAGTATCCAAGACAGGTCCTTAAGAAGCACAAAATACTTAAGGTGCAGATAGAAAAACAGAAGGAAATTGTGGAAGAGTAATCCAGGATACAAGAAAAAAAACAAAACAGAAAACTACTCTAAACCAGAAAGGTGAAGGAGAGTAATGATCACTAAAAGTCAAACCAACAAGAAACGCTGACAATTTTTTTTTCCACTTTTGTTGCCCAGGCAACCTCTGCCTCCCAGCTTCAAGCGATTCTCCTGACTCAGCCTCCCGAGTAGCTGGGATTACAGGCATGTGCCACCACATCCAGATAATTTTGTATTTTTAGTAGAGACAGAGTTTCTCCATGCTGGTCAAGCTGGTCTCAAACTCCTGACCTCAGGTGATCTACCCGCCTTGGCCTCCCAAAGTGCTGAGACTGGCGTGAGCCAATGCGCCCGGCCAGTTTTTTTTTTTTGAGACAGAGTCTCACTCTGTCGCCCAGGCTGGAGTGCAGTGGCCGGATCTCAGCTTACTGCAAGCTCCAACTCCTGGTTTACGCCATTCTCCTGCCTCAGCCTCCCGAGTAGCTGGGACTACAGGCACCCACCACCTCGCCCGGCTAGTTTTTTGTGTTTTTTTAGTAGAGACGGGGTTTCACTGTGTTAGCCAGGATGGTCTCGATCTCCTGACCTCGTGATCCGCCCGTCTCGGCCTCCCAAAGTGCTGGGATTACAGGCTTGAGCCACCCCGCCCGGCCTTTTTTTTTCTTTTAAGAGACAGAGTCTCACTCCTGCCCAGGAATGCAGTGCAATGGCGTGATTATAGCTCACTATAGCCTCGAACGCCTGGTTCCAAGCAGTCTTCCCGCCTAGACCTTCCAAAGTGCTGGGATTACAGGCATGAACCACCGTGCCCAGCCACTCCTGATAATTTAACGGATGTAGGCAATGATCATCCATCTATGGCCGCCGCCATCACAAAAACAAACCAACCTTATCAACTCCCTGAAGAAAGCACATAGCACCACTCCAAGAGTTTAAAAAAAAAAAAAACCGACATGAACTTGATCAAGCATCTACCTCCAACGTTCAAGTGACAGGATATACGGGGATCGGAGGAACACGTCAAAATCATAGCACTTATATGACAAAATACCTATTACAAGAAACTTTATACAACAAATGATCAGTTTTATAATCTGGGGTTACAGGTGTGAGCCACCACATCCGGCCGTAGTTTTTGTATTTTTAGTACAGATGGGGTTTCACCATGTTGGCCAGGCTGGTCCCAAACTCCTGACCTCAAATGATCTGCCTGCCTCAGCCTCCGAAAGTGCTGGGATTACAGGCATGAGGCACCGTGCCTGGCCCATAATCAATTTCAGAACCTCAAAATTTCCATCACCTCAGAAAGAAACCTTGTGCCCGTTAAGATTTTACTTCCTTTTTCTCACATCCCTCCAGCCCTAAGCAACCAATAGTCTACTTTCCATCTCTATGGATTTGCCTATTCTGAACATTTAATATAAATTAAATCATCCAATATGTGGTCTTGTGTGCCAAACCTTTTTCATTTAGCATGTTTTTAAGGCTCACATTGTGCAACATGTGTATCTGTACTCGTTCCTTTTCATAGTCGCATATTCTACTGTATGGACATACCACATTGTATTTATCTGTTTTTCGGTTGATGGACATTTGTGTTGTTTTCACTTTTGGGCTATTATGAATAATATGGTACCATAAAGATATGTGTACACATTTTATTTTTAAACTTAAAAAAATTGTATTCTAAACTTTCTCTGCCCCATATGAATCTGCAGGAATGTGTAAAAGTTTCTATGTGGATATAAGTTTTCATTTCTCTGAGTGAAATTGCTGGATGAAATGGTAACTCGTTATCTTTCTGAGGAACTGCCAGACTGTTGTTTGTGGCTGTGCTATTTTACATTCCCACCAGCAGTATCCAAGAGTGTCTCCACGTTCTCACCAAGACTCATCTGACATTTTGATTATAGCCATCCTAGTGGATGTGAAATAGTATCTGTTGGGCTTTTAATCTGCATTTCCCTAATGACTAACGGTGTTGAGCAACTTGTCATGTGCTTATTGGCCATTTGTGTCTTTTTTTTTGAGACAGAGTCTCTGTTGCCCAGGCTGGAGTGCAGTGGCGCGATCTCGGCTCACCACAACCTCTGCCTCCTGAGTTCAAGTGATTCTCCTGCCTCAGCCTTTATGCTACCATAAAGATATGTATAAAAATTTTAGTTTGTGTTATTCTAGAAACTTGTCCCTTTCGTGAAAGTTATCGAATTTATTGGCATACACTTGTTCACAGTATTCCTTTCTAATCCATTTCATTTCTATAAGGTTAGTAGTTGTGTTCCCTCTTTCATTTCTTTTGCATTTTATTTTTGATACATAATTGTACATATTTGGGGGTATAGTGTGATATTTCTATATGCGTATATATATTGTGATCATCAAATCAAGGTATTTAGTATATCCATGACCTTACCCATTTATCATTTTTTTGTGGTGGGAAAATTCAAAATCCTATCTATTTTGAAATATATAATACATTATTGTTAATCATAGAAACCCTACTGTGTAATAGGCCACCAGAATTTATTCCTCCTATCTAACTCTAACTTTGTACCTGTTGAGTAATCTCTCCCTATTTCCCCTTTCTTCCCCTCTCCCCAGCCTCTGGTAACTACTATTCTATTCTTTTCTTCTATGAGATCAACTTCTTTAGATTCCATGAGTGAGATCATGTGGTATTTATCTTTCTGTGCCTGGCTTATTTCACTTAACATAATGTCCTTCAGGTTCATTTATGTTGCCGCACATGACAGGATTTTATTTTTTTTTATGGCTGAATAGTATTCTACTGTGTGCATATTCCACATTTTCTTCATACATTCCTCCACTGATAGACACTTAGATTGATTCCATACTTTGGCTATTATGAAGAGTGCTGCAGTATATTTTTATATATTCATGACAAATCCTTTTCTTACCTTTTGATATTTCTATGCTACAAAGTTTGCGAGTTTTTTCAAATTGTTGCAAATCTCCAAAAAAAACCCTGCAGTATATTTATTGAAAAAGATTTGCATATGGGTGGATCTGTACAGTTCGAACTTGTGTTCTTCTCGGGAGGCTGAGGTGGGAAAACTGCTTGAGCTGAGGAGGTCAAGGCAGCAGTGAGCTATGATAGTGCCGCTACACTCCAGCCTGGGCACCACAGCAAGACCCCATCTCAAAACAAAAACAAAAACATTATCAAGCAGAATAAACAAAACAAAACTTAAAAAGCAGTAGCACATAAAAATGACCAAGTGGGATTTGTCCAAGGGATACAAGGTTGGTTTAACATGCAAAAAGCAATTATGTAATATACAATATACAGGCCAGGCACAGTGGCTCATGCATGTAACCCTAGCACTTTGGGAAGCCATTGCACTACAGCCTGGGCAACAAGAACAAAACTGACTCAAAAAAAAAAAGAGAAGCCAGGCACAGTGGTTCACGCCTGTAATCCCAGCACTTTGGGAGGCCAAGGCCGGTGGATCACGAGGTCAGGAGTTCGAGACCAGCCTGGCCAACATAGTGAAACACCGTCTCTGCTAAAAATACAAAAATTAGCTGGGCATGGTGGCAAGCGCCTACAGTCCCAGCTACTTGGGAGGCTGAGGCAGGAGAATCACTTGAGCTCGGGAGGAGGAGGTTGTGGTGAGCCGAGATCACGCCACTGCACTCCAGCCTGGGCAACAGAGACTCTGTCTCAAAACAAAACAAAACAAAACAAAACATAAATGGCCAATAAGCACATGAAAAGCTGCTCAACACCGTTAGTCATTAGGGAAATGCAGATTAAAAGCCCAACAGATACTATTTCACATCCACTAGGATGGCTATAATCAAAATGTCAGATGAGTCTTGGTGAGAACGTGGAGACACTCTTGGACACTGCTGGTGGGAATATCCATAGAGATGAAAAGTAGACTAGTGGTTGCTTAGGGCTAGAGGGATGTGGGAAAAAGGAAGTAAAATCTAATGGGCACAAGGTTTCTTTCTCAAGTGATGGAAATTTCGAGGTTCTAAAATTGATTATGGGCCAGGCACGGTGCCTCACACCGGACGTGATGGCTCACACCTGTAATCCCAAGTTATAAATAAATAAATAATAAAATGCCCTTTTTTTCCTTTCTTTTTTTAGTGGAGTTCTTTAAGTACAGCTACAATGGGAGGTAAGACTCATAACCATAATGAAAAGAATGGTAAACAAGACTATAGCAAGAGCATTTTGAAAAAGCTAGAGAGCAGGCTGGGCGTGGTGTCTCACGCCTGTAATCCCAGGACTTTGGGAGGCCAAGGCAGGCGGATCACCTGAAGTTAGGAGTTCGAGACCAGCCTGGCCAATGTGGTGAAACCCTGTCTCTACTAAAAATACAAAAATCAGCCAGGCATGGTGGTGGGCGCCTGTAATCCCAGCTACTTGGGAGGCTGAGGCAGGAGAATCGCCTGAACCCAGGAAGTGGAGGTTGCAGTGAGCCAAGATTGTGCCACTATACTCCAGTCTTGGTGATAAGAGCGAAACTCCATCCCCAAAAAAAAGAAAGCTAGAGAGCAGATGGATAAGTAATAACTTAGTAAGTGAAGAGTGGAAAACCAAGTCAATAGCAGGGCTAGCCTAGAAGACAATTTCCATCATGGAATCCCAGAAAGAGTGAGTCTCAACTTCCAGACAAATGAAGTGGAAATACTTTGTGAGAATCACAATAGGAACTGTGTGTGAAAGTGCTTTTCAAATAGTAAAGTACTGCAAGAGCTGACTTTAGAGAAGGCTTATCACTACCTTGCCAAGTCATCACCCTGAGAAATCGATCAGCTACTTCCTGAGGGAAACTCCAATGCTCCGGAAGGCACAGCGTTCCATCAGGTCTTTCAGAACACAGTTTCCCCAGGTTAGCAATCAGGACATTCAGGCAGATGTTCACCAAAGTGTAGGGAGATGCCTCTTCCTAGCAAACAAAACCCCAAACAAATTGTGTTAGAACACACCTGCAAAAATTCAACATAAAACTAGTCATGCCATACATATTCCATTTGATGAGGGTATGTGAAGAAACATCCTTCATACTCTAATAATGATTTATATGTAACGAAACTACCTCATTCCAACGTTAACTGAATGGAAAATTTAATCTGTTGTCTCTTCTGTTGTACAGCTGTCCCTCAAAACCTGCAGGAGATTGGTTCCAGAACTCCCCGACCAGCATCCACAGATGCTCAAGTCCCCTAATATAAAATGGTGTAATGTTTGCATATAACCTATGCAGACATTCTCATACACTATAAATCATTTCCAAATTACTTATAAGCACTAATACAGTATAAATGCATTATACTATATTGTTTACAGATTGACAAGGAAAAAGTCTGGACATGTTCAGTACAGATACAGGTTTTTTCCCCCAAATATTTTCCATCCAAAGTTGGCTGAATTCACATATACTGAACCCACAGTCAGAAAGAACATATTGTATCTTGAAAAACATTAAGTTCTTTTTTTCTTTTTTTTGAAATAGGGTCTCACTATCGCCTAGGCTGGAGTGCAGTGGCACAATCATAGCTGAATGCAGCTTTGACTTTCCCAGTCAGTTGATCCTTCCACCTCAGCCTCCTGAGTAACTGGGACTACAAGCTCATGCCACCACGCCCAGCTAATTTTTTGTACATTTTATAGAGTCCCACTTTGTTGCCCAAGCTAGTCTCGAAACTCCTGGGCTCAAGAGATCCTCCCACCTTAGCCTCCCCAAGTGCTGGATTACAGGCATGAGCCACCGCACCTGGCCCCAATATTAAGTTCTCTTAATCCTTTACTGATCACCTGTTCTGTGCTAGCCACTGAAAATACAGAGATGGGTAAGATACACTTCTAGTCCCTTTAAAGTTAACATTTACTGAAGAATACAAACAAGAAATTGACAATTTCAGTGCAACATTTGGAACACTTCAAGCAGAGATCACATGGTCATTCATTCAACAAATATGTATTCATTGATTATCATGTGTCTACTCCCAAAACTATTCACAACCTCAAACGGTGATACATCCAAGGTCCTATGAAAGTGTAAGAAACTGACAGGAAGGTGAGGCTACAAAGTCATGTACAGACTCATGATTTTTGGAATTACAATGGTATAAAGTAGAAACCATACTTGAAATTTTGAGTTTTGATCTCTTCCCGGGCTAGTGACATATAATATGATATTCTTTCAATGCTGGTCAGCAGAGTGAGCTGCAGCTCCCAGTCAGCCACACGATCACAAGGGTGAACAAATACTACTTGATATCTTCTTGAACACTATGCCTGCTAAACCATCAACAAGTGTCAGTGGGCTCCAATGTTTAGAAGGACAACTAGTGACCCTATTGATGTAGCTTCTCCATCATCCAGCAATTAACTTTTAGTTCAAAGCTTCAAACATTCTTCAGGCCCAGCGTGCTTTCAGCTGTATATGTTAACAGTGAGTACCCATATGACCACTGTTTTTCACTGTCAGTATCAATAAATTCCATGAGATATTCAACACTATAATGAAATGGGCTTTGTGCTAGATGATTTTGTTCAACTGTAGGCTTATGTAAGAGTTCTGAGCACATTTAAGGTAGGTCAGACTAACCTATATTTGGTAGGTTATGAGTATTAAATGCATTTTGGACTTAGAATATTTTAAATTTACAAGGGTTTTATTGGGACATAACCCTATCGTAAAGCAAAAAATGCTTTTCTCCTCTACAAAACAGAAAGGCTGGCCAAGCGTGGTAGCTGTTAATTCCTGCACTTTGGGAGGCCGAGGTGGGTGAGTCACTTGAGGTCATGAGTTTGAGACCAGGCTGACCAACATAGCAAAACCCTGTTTTTACTAAAAATACAAAAATTAGCCAGGCATGGTAGCACATGCCTATCTATAGTCCCAGCTACTCAGGAGCCTTGAGGCAGGAGAATCCCTCGAACCCAGAAGGCTAGAGAGTGCAGTGAGCTGAGATAGCATCACTGCACTCCAGCATGGGTGACAGATGCCATGTCAAAAAAAAAAGGTGCTCTAAAATTAACTGTCGGGCAAGGTGCAGAGGCTCACTCCTGTAATCACACCACTCTGGGAAGATGAGGTGGGTGGATCATCTGAGTTCGAGACCAGCCTGGCCAACACGGTGAAACCCCGTCTTCACTAAAAATACAAAAATTGGCCAGGCGCAGAGGCTCACACCTGTAATGCCAGCATTTTGGGAGGCCGAAGCGGTTGGATCATGAGGTCAGGAGTTTGAGACCAGCCTGGCCAACATAGTGAAATCCCGTCTCTAATAAAAATACGAAAAATTAGCCAAGGGTGGTGGCAGGCGCCTGTAATCCTAGCTACTGGGAAGGCAGAGGCAGGAGAATCACTTGAACCCGGGAGGCGGAGGTTGCAGCAAGCCAAGATTGTGCCACTGCACACCAGCCCAGGTGACAGTGCGAGACTCCGTCACAAAAAAAAAAAAAAAAGAAAAAAAAATTAGGAAGGCATGGTGGCAGGAGCCTGTAATCCCAGCTACTCAGGAGGCTGAGGCAGCAGAATCACTTGAACAAGGGAGGTGGAGGTTGCAGTGAGCTGAGATCACACCACTGCACTCCAACCTGGGTGACAGAGTGAGACTACATCTCAAAAAATAAAAAATAAAATAAAATAAAATTAATTAATTAAAATAAATAATAAAATAAACTGTAGGCCAGGGATGGTGGCTCACACCTGTAATTCCAGCACTTTGGGAGGCAGAGGCGGGCTGATCACTTGAGGTTAGGAGTTCAAGACCAACCTGGTCAACATGTTGAAACCCCATCCCTACTAAAAATACAAAAATTAGCTAGGTGTGATGGCTCACGCCTGTAATCCCAGCTACTCGGGAGGCTGAGGCAGGAGAATCACTTGTACCGGGGAGGCAGAGGTTGTAGTGAGCCCAGATCGTGCCATTACACTCCAGCCTGGGTGACAGAGTGAGACCCTGTCTCAATAATAATAATAATAATAATAATAATAAATTGACTGTGGTAAGGTTACGCATCTATGAAAAGTCTCCTGGTCAGGCACAGTGGCTCACACGTGTAATCCCAGCATGAAAGGTCAAGACAGGTAGATCACGTGAGCTGAGGAGTTCAAGACCAGATGTGGAAACATGGCAAAACCCTGTCTCCACAAAAAATACAAAAAAATTAGTCGAAAGTGGTAGGGTGTGCCTGAGTCCCAGCTACCTGGGGGGGCTGAGGCAGGAGAATTGCTCCAGCCCAGGAGGTCAAGGTTGCAGTGAGGCAATGAGCCATGACTGCACCACTCCACTCCAGCCTAGGTGACAAAATGAGACCCTGTCTCAAAAAAAAAAAAAAATTATAAGTCTCTGAATTGCAAAATATATATAGACACTCAAAGTAGCATCCATAAAGTTCAGCTTACAATAAAATATCAGACATGAGAAGCAGGAAAAAAAAGTCAATAGAAACAAATCCCAAAATAACTTTAATAACCTAACAGACAGGAATTTAAAACAGCTATTATAATTCACGGGTTTAAAACAGAACATGAACACAATAAGAGAACAAATATGGAAACACCAGAAAAACAGAAGATATGAAAAAGACCAAAAGGAAATGTCTAGAGTTGAAAAAATACACCAGGCCAGACACAGTGGCTCACGCCTGTAATCCCAAAGATTTTGGAGGCCGAGGTGGGCAGATCACAAGGTCAGAAGATCGAGACCATCCTGGCCAACACGGTAAAACCTCGCCTCTACTAAAAATACAAAAATTAGAAGCTGGGTGCAGTGGCTCATGTCTGTAATCCCAGCATATTGGGGAAAAAACAAAAACAAAAAAACAAAACAAACAAACAAACAAAAAAAAAACAGCAGATAGGATTATCAGCACATCAGAACTACAAAATAAGAGATCACTAAAGATGAAGTCAGGACAATAGAAATGACTCAAACTGAAACAGAAAAAGGCTGGGGAAAAAGTTGAAAACCATGGTGCCCCAATTAAGGCACTTCTTAACCGATCTTAAGCAGCCTATTAGAAATATATAATTGAAACTCTAGGCCAGCATGGTGGTTCACGTCTGTAATCCCAGCACACTTGGAGGCCCAGGCAGGCAGATCACTTGAGGCCAGGAGTTCGAGACCAGTCTGGCCAACATGGTGAAACTCCATCTCTACTAAAAATACAGAAAAATTAGCTGGGCATGTTGGCACACACCTGTAAATCCCAGCTACTCAGGAGGCTGAGACATGAGAGTCCCTTGAGCCCAGGAGGCAGAAGGTTGCAGTGAGTGGAGATCGCGCTCACATCAACCAAGCAAGACTTGGTCTCAAAAACAGTAAAGAGGCTGGGCACGGTGGCTCACGCCTGTAATCCCAGCACTTTGGGAGGCTGAAGTGGGCAGATCACAAGGTCAGGAGATTGAGATCATCCTGGCAAACATGGTGAAATTCCATCTCTACTAAAAATACAAAAATCAGCTGGGTGTGGTGGCGTGTGCCTGTAATCCCAGTCCTAGCTACTCCGGAGGCTGAGGCAGGAGAATCTCTTGAACTAGGAAATCGGAGGTTGCAGTGAGGTGAGATCAAGCCACTGCACTCCAGCTGGGTGACAGAGCGAGACTCCGTCTCAAAAAAAAAAAAAATTGCTTTGTGGTTTAATATCTATTGAGTTGTAGTTAATTAATTCACTGGGTGCAAATTTGATGTCTCTATTTTTTTTCTTTTAATTTTATTTTTATTTTTGAGACAGAGTCTAGCACTGTTGCCCAGGCTGGAGTGCAGTGGCATGATCTCAGCTCACTGCAACCTCCACTTCCCGGGTTCAAGTCATTCTCGTGCCTCAGCCTCCCACGTAGGTGGGACTACAGGCATTCGCCATCACATCTGGCTAATTTTTGTATGTTTGGTAGAGACAAGATTCTCCAGGCTGGTCTTGAACTCCTGGTCT